AGTGGTGATAGGAGATGAGGGAGGGCGTGGTTTGGGGGTTGCAGGGAGAACACTTAAGAACGGGCTTGGGACTTCCCTGGTGGCGCAGTGGTTAAGAAGTCTCCTGCCAATGCAGGGGACATGGGTTTGAGCCCTGGTCCAGGAAGATCCCACATGCCACGGAGCAACTAAGCCTGTGCGCCATAACTACTGACCCTGCGCTCTAGAGCCCGCGAGCCACAACTACTGAAGCCCGTGTGCCTAGAGGCCGGGCTCCGCAACAAGAGAAGCCACCCAATGAGAAGCCTGCACACCGCAACGAAGAGTAGCCGCAACTAGAGAAAGCCCGTGAGCAGCAATAAAGACCCAACGCAGCCATAAAAATAATGGGCTTATAATAAGGAAGGTTTGCGGGGTGGGCTGTTGCTGTAGTGGTTTTGGGAGAGAGGGCCTGCCCCTCACCCAGGTCCACGTGCTGTCTCTGGGGAGATGGATGCAGGGTATGTACATACACTGGAGGTGTCGGAGGAAGCTCAGGACAAGAAGGCCTTCCCCTCCTCCCAGAAGGGGGTGAGTGTGCACTGTGCGTGGGCAGCAGGCTGCCCCCAGGCACCCAGTCTCAGGGGGCAGGTGGCCAGAGGACAGAGAGACTGGGAGCTGGGCTGTTTTTTCTGGATCCTGCTTCCTAGTGAGGAGTGGTGTGTCCCTTTTTCTTTTTGGAATAGGGAGGACCCGAAACAAGGTGGCTTGTTTTCTTGGTTTTCCACTGTTTTTACTGTAGTAAAACATACATAAGTTAAAATTTACCATTTTAACCATTTCTGAGCGTACAGTTCGGTGGCATTAAGTGCATTCACATAGTTGTGTAACCATTGCCGCTATTTTCAGCACTTTCTCATCATCCCAGGCAGAAGCTCTGCCCCATTCAACAGTAATTACCCTCCTCCTCCCCAGCCCCTGGCAACTTCTGTTCTGCTTTCTGTCTCTGTGGATTTGCTTCTTGTAGGTATTTCATATGAGTGGAAACATTCAGTATTTATCCTTTTGTGTCTGGCTTATATCACTGAGCATAATGTCCTCTAGGTCCATCCGTGATGTAGCAGTGTGTCAGCACTTCCTTCCTTGTAGGATATGAATCAGGGCTGCATTCATCTTAATAGCCAAGTGATGCCCCAGTGTGCAGATAGACCACACTTTGTCCGTTCGTCCGTTTCCATTCGTTCATCCCTCGGCTGCTGTGACTCACACTGCTCAGAACGTGGGTGGACAAGTGCAGGTTCAAGTCCCTGCTCCTAGTTCTCTTGGGTCCACTCCCAGAAGTGGAATTGCTGGGTCATATGGTGACTCTATATTTAACATTTTGAGGAACCACCAGCTTTTTTCCAAAGCAGCTGCTCCGTCTTACGTTCCCATCAGCCGTGCATGAGTTTCCGATTTCTCCACATCCCCGCCAACACTCATTATGTTCCCTTTTTTGGGGGAAGTCATCCTAATTGGTGTGAAGTCGTACCTTGTGGCTTTGATCTACATTTCCTTAGTGACTAGTGATCTTGGGCACCTTTTTGTGTGCTTATTGGTTGTTGGTGTATCTTCTTTAGAGAAATGTCTATTCATGTCCTTTGCCCACTTTCTAACTGGGCTGTTGTCTTTGAATTGTAGGAATTCTTATATATATTCAGCATTTTAAACCCTCATCAGATATGTGGTTTGCAAATATTTTCTCCCATCCCCTGGGTTGTCCTTTTGATGCACAAAGTTTTCAATTTTAATGAAATTCTATCTTTCTTTCTTTTGTTGCCTGTGGTTTTGGTGTCATATCAAAGAATCCATTGCCAAATTCAAGGTCATGAAGATTTACTCCTACGTTTTCTTCTACAAGTTTTATGGTTTTATCTCTTAAAATTAGGTTTTGGATGCATTTTGAGTTAGTTTTGTATATGGTATGAGGTAAGGGTCCAAGTTCATTCTTTCACAGGTGGAACTCTAGTTGTCCCAGAACCATTTCCTGTGGAGTGGTCCTGGCACCTTGTAAAACAATCATTTGATCATAGGCGTGAAGGTTTGTTTCCAGCCTCTCAGTTCTGTCCGTTTGTTCTATGTGTCTGTACCACAGTGTGTTAATTACTGTACCTTTGCAGTAAGTTTTGAAATTAAGAAGTGTGAGTTCTCCAACTTTGTTCTCTTCCAAGATTGTTTTGGCTATTGTAGGTCCCTTGAGATTCCATATGACTTTTAGGATGGATTTTTCTATTTCTGCAAAAATGCTATTGGACTTTTTTGGTGAGAGTGGCATTATATCTGAGGGTCACACTGGGCACTGTTTACATCCTGACAATGTCAAGTCTCCAGTCCATGGACATGGGATGTCTTTTCATTTATCTGTGTCTCCCTCAACTTCCCTCTCGCTATCATGATGCTAAATGTGTCACCTGTGGAGGCCTCATGAAGGTCCAGCGTCCTCAGCAAAACCGGATCTCCACGGCAGCCTCTCCCAGGACTGCCCCTGTCCTGAGGCGAGAGCCACCAGGAACAGGACACAGCATCCTGCACAGATCTTTGCCCCTTCCCCTCACTGCGATTGGGAACCATGTTTGGAAAGTGCACTTTGCAAGCCCCTTAAAACCTTCCATCATGCGTGTTTAGGACACACAGAAATAGAGGGTTCGAGGGTGCCCCTCGGTCATCAGCTCTTACCTTCTGGCCAACGGCCCCTTTGTCCTCCTATCAGGGTAACTGGGGCTCTTTATCTCCCACCCTGGGCCCAGAGCCAAGCAGGGTGTTGGGATCCTAGGGCTCCAAGGCCACCGCTGGGTATACCGAGTGACCTCACCGTGGCTCTTTGGAAGGGTAGAGCAGAAGACACTTGGGTACGAAGACCTGAAACAAGAGGAGTCCTCCATGTTTTGTTTCCCCACAGAGGGTTCTCCACGGCCCTGAAGCGCTTCCTCCAAGTGTGGCTTCCTTCAGTGGCTTTATTATTATTATTTTTTTAATAAATTTATTTATTTTTGGCTGCGTTGGGTCTTCGTTGCTGGGTGTGGGCTTCTCATTGCAGTGGCTTCTCTTGTTGCAAAGCACGGACTCTAGGCACGTGGGGTTCAGTAGCTGTGGCACACGGGCTCAGTAGTTGTGGCTTGAGGGCTCTAGAGCGCAGGCTCAGTAGTTGTGGCGCACGGGCTTAGTTGCTCCACGGCATGTGGGATCTTCCCAGACCAGGGCACGAACCTGTGTCCCCTGCACTGGCAGGCAGATTCTTAGCCACTGAGCCACCAGAGAAGTCCCCGGAATATTCCTTCTTATTTTTGATATTTATGTGTAACGTTTATTAGTTTTTTTCATCAACCCAGAGAATAAATCAAAATGATCCAACATCTCACCACAGCTAGTGAAGATAGTCATTATACATAAAGCAACACAGGTGTGGTTAGGGGCTCTGAAGCTCACAGAAAGGAGCACAGTGAGCAGTTCTGGTCACTTCAGGCCACTCGGCCCCTCCTTGTTGAGTCCTGTCACCTGTCCCTGGAAGAAAGCTCTGTGCCTTAACCCACAGCGCCTCCCCTGTGAGTCCCGAACCTGCCTCCTGGGTGGTGGTGCATCCTGCCCCATGGGGCATGTGCCTCCTTAGCCTGCAGGGCAGTGCCAGGACCAGGGAAACCAGGGAGGCCGTCCCTGGTGTCCGGACTGGGGGACGCTCCAGGCTATGTCTCACTGCCTCTCTGCTCTCACTTGAGGGCCAGGCCGGCCTCTGGGAGGGGCTCACGCGCCACGACTCTGGTCACCTTCAGGTTATGGTTCCTGCTTAAATTACCTAAAGGCAGGAGAACCCCGCACAAATTCCATCTGCTTTGCTGCTGAGCTCAGAGGAGGGGCGTGGGGGGCAGAGCCGTCTGAGGATGCAGGTCTGGTCAGTGGCCTGGGAGCAGAGCAGGGCGTGGGCCCCACCTGGGTCTTTGTGTGTGCAGACTCTGACCTGCTGACCACGTGCTCACTGTGCCTGGTGTGAATAGGCCATGTGTCCTGAGACCACTCAGACATCTGGGTGTCCATGCTCCCCTGTTCATCCCTGCTCCGCCCACCAGAACCCCTCCTCGTGGTACAGGGCATTGGCGTTTGGAGCCCTGAGCTGTCCTCGAGGGGTCTCCCCTCCAAGATCCTTGGCCTGCCTGCTTTCCCATGTGCCTTTCCCAATGGGAGCTTCTCGGGGAGCGGGGTCCTGTGTGGCCCTTTCCTGTGTATGACCCCTGAGTGACCACAAGCCCCAGTGGAAGCTTCCCACCTTCCTCTGTCTTTCATCCTTTTCCATTTTAAGGTTTCTGCTCTGTGCCAGCTCAGCCTTGCCGTGTCTCAGGGGCCCCGGGCCCCTCATCTGACTGGGACCCCAGCTACCTGCCCAAAGGGTCGCTTGCCGGGGGAGGCCTGTCTCGCTCCCACTGTGGTGTGGGTGGCAGGGTGGCTTTCCTCCTCAAAGGGGAAGAGGGGACAGACTGGCCCTGTGTGGTCGTCCCCTATGGGAAGAGCCAATGGACTGTGCCCTGTGTGCCTGACTTGGGGGCTCCCTGTGTCCTTCTCTGGAAACTCACAGGGCCACACGAGCTCCTGGACTGTCCCAAGTGTGAGTGCCCAAGGGGGCTGTGCGTGAGGCTGGCTTCCCCTGTGCTGTGTAAACAAGCCTCAGGCCAGCTGTGTCCCTTGTCAGGGCCGCCTGGGAAGCCACGGGGCTGGGGGAAGCCAGACACACCTGCTCCCGACCCCTGGGACGCAGCCCCAGTGGGAAGTGGTTTGCAGGTGGGTGGGGCTGTGGCTATGCTCACCTGGAGCTGGCCACCAGGCATGTGGCTGGCCTCTTGAACCTTGTACCCCCATCAGCACAGGGGGGTGGTGGGGGGGCAGTGGCAGCACCCCCAGACTGAGAGCGTGGGTCAGCCAGGAGGGCAGGTTACTAACACTGTGGTGACCACATGCTCCCAGGAGTCCTTCAGGCTGCAAGGCCAGGTAGAGCCCCGCCCATTGCCCCATCACAGATGCTGGAGGCCCCACCCCTGCTGCTGGCAGCTGTCGCCCTTGGCCTGGTGCTGCTGGCGCTGCTGTGGCTGCTGCAGGCCTTGCGACTCTGGGGCCTGTTCATCATTGGCTGGAACGAGCTTGTCCTGCACCCCGTCCGCAACCTCCTCATGGGCAACAGCAAGGAGCAGCGCATTCTGCGCCACGTGCTGCAGCACGCTGTGGCCGGGGACCCGCAGAGCGTGCTGGATACCATCGACGCCTACTGCTCGCAGAAGGAGTGGGCTATGAACGTGGGCGACAAGAAAGGTGGGCAGTGCGGCCAGCACAGGTGAGGGTCAGGGGCTGTGCAGAGCCCCAACGCCCATGTCGCTGTCCCCACGGGAGGGTGGGACATTTGATAAACCCCCGCTCCAGGAGGTGCTGTTCAGGGGTCCCCTTGCCATCACCAGTTAGAGGCAACAGGAGAGTCTCCACGTGGGCCCTGCACTCGCAGGCCGTCAGGCAGAGCCAGGTGTCAGCACAGGGTGAGCAGTGGGTCCCTGGCTGTCCTGGCTGGGCCTGACGGTGTATGGAGACCCTTGGACTCTGCCAGGCACAGGCACCAGGCCCCCCGCCCCAGGCTGCCTCCTGACCTTTGGACTCCAGCCTGGAGCACAGGCAAGTGCCACACTACACTCCCTGGAGTCAGGCCCCGGGGACAGACATGACAGCTACTGTCCAGCCCCCTTGGACCTTCTGACAGTGTCCAGCTCAAGGGAGCCAGGGAGGCTCTGAGTGCAGCCTGGGGGCAGAGTGGGGGCTGGACAGTGGTTGTCACATCTGTCACGTCTGGGGGCTTCCACAGAGGGCAGCTCTGGGTTAGGACGAGTTGGGGGCAGGGAGGAATGGTGGAAAAGAGAGGGAGCAGTGTGTGCAAAAGCAGAGGCCTGAGGGGCCAGGCACTGGGAGGGGCTGCTGCTCAGGAAGGAGATGGGCCAGGACTGGGGTGGGTCACCCCCTGCCTGCTCACCCCACTCCCCTCCGTAGGCCAGATCGTGGACGCCGTGTTGAGGGAGCAGCGTCCCTCGGTGCTGCTGGAGCTGGGTGCCTACTGTGGCTACTCGGCTGTGCGAATGGCCCGCCTGCTGCTGCCCGGCGCCCGGCTGCTCACCATTGAGCTCAACCCTGACTACGCCGCCATCACCCAGCAGATGGTGGACTTCGCAGGCCTGCAGGACAGGGTGCGGCACCATTCCTAGGGTGACAGATGTGGACTCAGGTTCCAGGGGCCAGGAGGGCAGGAAGGGCCTGGGCCACACCCTGGCGGCTCAAGGCCACATTTACCCAGCTGGCCCACAGCCCCGGTCCACAGAGCAGGAGACTCCCAAGGCCCCCAGAGGGAGGGGCAGAGCAGGAACCTGTCTCCCAGAAGCCACTTGGACTCTCAGGGGTCCGGGTGGGGGTCTGTTGTTCCAGGTGACCGTTGTCGTCGGGGCATCCGAGGACATCATCCCCCAACTGAAGAAGAAATATGACGTGGACATTGTGGACATGGTCTTCCTCGATCACTGGAAGGACCGGTACCTGCCAGACATGCTCCTCCTGGAGGCGAGTGTCGACTTAAAAAAAATTGCACAGTGTGAGAGTAGCAAGTTAAGTTTTATTTGGGGCTAAATGAGAGCTGCAGCCCGGGAGACAGGACCCCCGATAGCTCTGAGAAACTGTTCCAAAGAGGTAGAGGGGGAAGGTCAGTATATATGTGATTTTGGTGAAGGGGGAGTACGTGCAATCGAGCACATTTTTTTTTGCCAAATGTTTCTGCTAGTCACAAGGAGCAGTCATCACCATGAAGGATTTTAGTGTTTTTCTAGATACAAGGAGATACAAGAATTGGGCTCATAAAATCTTCTCCTGAAAATATCTTTCTGAAGACCTGTTCTGCCAGTTTTTCCCAGAGCACAGAGTGCCTTATTTTAGCTCTCTACCTGAACTCCTTTCAGGGGGTGTTGACAGTCAGCAGCTGCAGCAGTAAATGATTTAATCCTTGTAGAGGTAGATGGTAAGTGCCAATGGAAAATGCCGATTCATAGTTGACAGGAGCCTTGCGCCCGCCTGGCTGGAATGGGCCCTGCCGAGGGCGGCCCTGGGGGCCCGGGAGGCTTGGGCCAGCCTGCCTGCATTTAGGACATGGAGGGGAGTGCGGGGCCCTGGGCGGGGTGGAGATTGGAGGAAGGGGGATCCCTGCAGGGCAGCCTGTGCCAGGGTGGCTGGGAGGGGTGAACACCCGGGGCTGCAAGGGCTTGGGCTGGGGAGGCAAGAGGGAGGCAGCCTAGTGGCCACGTGGCTCTCCTGACTGGGTGGCAGGTGCTGGCCAGGGAAAGACGCATCTCCTGCCCGCCTTCCTCCCCAGACTCCTTGTTGTATGCCCCCTGCGCCCCCGCCCCCCCGTGCCCACCCCCAGGCTGTCCAGCCTCAGTGCCAGCTGCTCCTCCGGCACCACGTGGTAGCCAGGGGGCTGCCTCGCGCCCAAGTGAGTGGAGCTCAATATTGATGACCACCACCTTGTCCCTCCCGGGCGGTCAAGGGGACACAGCAGCTGGGGACGCTCTGCCCCACCACGGCCTCCAGCCCGGCAGCCACATGGGGCTGACCCTTGTTGTCAGTCCCCTGCTCGCCCACCTCGGCTCCCCCACAGGCCGGGCATCACCCGGCACAGGGGGACTGTGGGCGTGGGGGGCACGGCTGCTTGAGCCATAGCTGGGGCCGGGCAGGACCTTGCACCAGTGGTGTTGGCGTGGGTGTGGTGGGCCTGGTGCCTGAACGTGGCGAGAAGGAACCAGCCCTGGCTGGGGGGTTGTGAGAGGGTGCAGGATGGTCTGGGACTGGGCAGGGTGGGGGCAGTGGGCCAGGGCTGTGTGTGGAGGGCTTGACCACACAGGCAGGGCACGGAGGAGGGCTTCAGGGAGGTGAGGGCAGGCTAGACCTGTCTTCCGGAGAGATCCTGTTGCCTGTGTGGAGTGGGGAGGGGTGGCGGTACAGGGGACCCAGACCAGGAGCTGCACGGGGACCTGTGCTGGCCGAGACGGGTGGCAGTGGGGGGCTGGCACAGAGGCCCTCGAGCCAGAGCGGGGGCGGCCGCAGGGAGCACATCTGGGCAACTGAGCAGCTGGGCCTGCGTCACCGGGAGGGGAGGTTTCAGCAGCTTTGGGGTGTGTGATAATTACGGGGCCTGCATTGATAGAAAAGCAGCAAATATTGCCCTTAGTAACTAGGAAACTAATGGTTTTCTCAGTGCCACTTGTTCAAAGCTGGTAATTATCTCAAAAGAAGAAAAGTTGTGAATTGGGAATGTGCACTCTGAAGCCCTGCAGCCGGGCTCTTCTTGGGCCTGGCTGCTCCCCCTGGGTTGGGGTGAGGGGCTGGCAGGGAAGGTGGCCGTTCAGACCAGGAGCTGCTTCGAGGCGGCCTCGGTCCCCCATTGCTCAGGCCTCTCCACAGGCTGCTTGGGTGTCCTCCCAGCAGGGCAGCTGGCTTCCCCCAGAGCCAGAGACAGAAGCCACACAGTGGCCAGAGTCTCAGCCCAGCCCACACCCTGGGCGGAAGGAGGGAGGGTCAGGGAACAGTGGACCCGGCTCTGGTCCTCTGAATGCCGTTCCCTCCCTGCTGCCAGCACACAGTCTTACTCGGACGTGGGCTTCTGGCCAGAACTCTCCAGGGCTCTGTCCCCAGGCAGGCAGCCAGGCTTTTGCATCCCTCCTCTGTAACTTGTGGGTTTAGCGCCTGACTTGTTGAGCCCACCTTGTCCACCTGCGTCCTTCAGAATGAGCTCCAGCTCGCCTTGGGCGTTTCCTGCCCAGACCTGAGATGCCCTCCTGGGGCTGGGCAGGGCGGGGGTGGGGGGGCGCCTGCTCCCAGGGTGCCCTTTCTCATCAAGATTGCTGGCAAGTTCCTTTTCTTTTTCTAAGGGAAACGCTCCATGATTCAATAGAGGTACTTTGTTCAAATTCTGGCTCATGGGTTGTCCCAGCCTCACTGATCTCACAGCTGTGTTTTCCACTCTGGCCTGAGGGACCTTGGCCTCCCCCTCAGCCCATGGGCCGGAAGGGAGGCAGCCACCACCAGGGAGACTCGAGGGCTGCACAGTGGACCTCACATTCCTAAGTCACCAGGGGGTGCCCATCTGTCCCTGTGGTCCCGCTGGCAACTGGCAACTTAAGACACGCCTGGGGCCCTTGCCTGATTTTGCTTTCTGTGTTTGGGATTTTGCTTTTTTTTTTCCTCACTTTTATTTAATGATCATGTAAAGAAAACTGAGCTACCAACAGAACAACTGGGCCGTCCCTTCACCCCCTCCCCCAAACATTTCCTCTCAAGGTATTTCCTCTTTTGATTTTTGATGTAATCTAAGCAGCTCCTCCCCCAGCTTAGAGAGACTGCAGAGGGACCTGGGAGGTCCAGCCGCTCCTCCCTCTGCAGAGCCCAGGCCCGGAACACTGGCCAGCTGCCCAGGGCCCAGGCGCTGGTGGAAATGGGGTGCCTCAGAGTGGACCCAAGGGCCAGGCTTGTGGGTGGGTGGGGAGGTGTGCCCCATCTCTGCCCCCCAACAGTCACCCTGGTCAGGCCGGATTGAACCTCCAGTGACCGCTGACAGCAGCCCACACACTGGGCACCAGGCATCTGACCTGGAGGAGCCCCGTGTTCCTGGCACCCGGTGACCAAGGGACCCACTGGCCTTAGTCACCACTGTGGCTTTCCCAATCCTGGCCCCGTCACCTCCTCCACTCACACTTCCAGCTAGTGCTTAGTAAGCACCTGCTGTACTGAGGGTGCAGGAGGAGCAAGGAGACCCCCGCCCAGCACAGCCCTTTCCTGCTGTGGCTGCTGCCAGTGAGGAGCTGGTGCAGGGCTGACCCAAGGTTAGGCCACCCTCACCTCCTCCAACCATCCGTCTGTCCCTGCAGGAGTGTGGCCTGCTGCGGAAGGGGACAGTGTTGCTGGCCGACAACGTCATCTGTCCTGGGACACCAGAGTTCCTGGAGTACGTGCGTGGGAGCAGCCGCTTTGAGTGCACACACTTCAGTTCGTACCTTGAGTACTCACAGGTGGTGGATGGCCTGGAGAAGGTCGTCTACAAGGGCCCAGGCAGCCCTGTGCAGCCTTGACCGCCCACCCTGCCCCAGCTCCCTGGCCAAGCTGGATTCTGAAGGGTGTGGTGGCCCTACTCCTAGCTGCCCCGTGTCTGCAATGTGTGCGCCTGTCCCCAGTACAACACCCTCAAGGCCTGCGAGGCCCAGGCCTGCCCGCGCTGGCCCCTGCATGTGGGTCCACCCCAAGCGCAACCAGCTCACCTTGCAAAATCACTACAGTAAATCTGGAAAAGTATCTGACTGTAAAGGTCAGCTCAGGCAGGTGGTGTCCGTGACAGTGTCACACCCCCACCCCCACCCCCACCTCCCAGCATTCGTCAGGCTTCTGATTCAGGAAGTCAGAAGTCAGGGAACTGGGGCTGTGCACTCACACAGCCTGCCCTTGAGGTCTGCCGTCACCAGGTGGCAGCAATGCCTCAGTGATGGCACCATAACCAACAACTCACCCCACACTTCGGACTCCTGAGTTCTTTCACTTCCTTTTTAAGAATGAAATGCAACTTCTTTACTAAAATCATCTGTTAACAATCTCATATACCAATATCATGTTTAAAAGATAGTAAAATAGAAATTAAAGATCTAAATATTTAGGTAAGAGATGAACTGAGTGCTTCTTTTCAGCCACTGTGATGATGCTTCTTTCCCCTGGTGTCCTTAGCTTTGCACCAAACACACGCTGCTCCCCTTGGCCAGATGCTAACACTGCAGACTGGCCACAGCAGTGCCGGAGGTCGGCCTTGCTCAGTACTGTTCCCGTGGCCAGGCCGAGGGCCCCTGTTACAGCCCCATGGGGATGTCTGCAGGCTGGGGTGAGCCCCACCTGGGAAACCGGAACAAGGCAGTCAGCCAGCCTGCAGGTCCATCTCTGACCAAGCAGGTGCTGGGGAAGGTGGACACGGCCCTACAGCAGTGCCAGATGTGGTCTGTCCAGTGCCCAGCCTTTTGGGGCCTGCGTGTGGCTCTGAGGGGAAGCACCGTCCCCAGTCCCACTCGGCCTTGTCGGGGGAAGAGAGTAGACTCAGACCAGCTGCAGCATTTCTGCAGGTGCCCAGCTGGCAAGGGATGAAGCAGAGTTGGTTTGCATCCACCTAAATCCACAGGTGCCCCCAGCTCTGACCTGGTGCTCCAGCCCCAAGGCCCCCAAGTGGTTGGACCTCTGGCCACCTCGGAGGCTCCCTTGGGCCCCAGCAGAGGGTGGGGTCCTAGACCCCAGGATCACCCCTCCTGGTTGAGGCCCATCTGTGCCCAAGACCAGCCACTGGCCAGGACTCCACCCCAGGCCTTAGGACCCAGCTAACCACCCAGGATCAAGCCCACTCCTCTTTGTGTGTAGAAAGGGGACGCACGTGGGAAAACAACCCTGGGGACTCAGAGCTGAGACCCTGCTGGACACAGCAGACACACACCGAGGGCCACCTCCGACACCCAGCAAACGATGGGAGCAGCTCACGGAGGGAGCTGAGCCTCAGAAGACAGGAGGTTCCTTTGTTGTTTTTTTTAATTTTTAGTTTTTCTTACAAAAATTTAGATGTTTACCCATAGTCTTATTTTGGTTTTGTTTTTAATTGTTTTCATTAGTGTTTTTCTTGTTTTTAAGTCACAAACAGCAGGCACTGAACAGCAGTCCCCCACTGCTACTGCCAAAGGTCAGTCCCAGAGGCGCTACTCAGGGGCCAGAGCCGAGCAGGGAAGATGCTCCAGGCATCCGGGGGTGGGCGAGGCCCTCCAAAGCCTCTCTGTGGGTCGCCCCCCACTCAGGGCCCAGGGAAGCCCCTCCACCCTTGGGTTCAGACTCCCTTCACTGAGCCCCCTCCCTGCCTGGCTGCGGGGCCCCAGGGCCCCACCCCCACCCAGCTCCTCAGGGGCCCCGCCAGCCCCAAAGCAAAGCCAGGTGCCCGGCCCTGGGCCCCGCCGGGCTCCCACTAGCACACAGCACCATATCAGTAAACTGACTCGCCCGGGCGTTAGAAGGGGGGGAGCGAGGGCGGGAGGGCAGGCGTGTCCAGAACCCACAGCTCCAGGGAAAGAGGAGCTGCCAACCCCCGCCGCCAGGGGACCCCCGCTGCCCAGGTCCTTTCCCCGAGGTCCGTTCTTCCGAGATCAGACCCTAAGAGCAAACGACTGGGCCCAGGCCCTGAGGAGGAAGAGGGGAAGGCTGAGCAGGCCCGGTAGCAGGGCGATGGAGGCGTGGGTGAAGGCGGCTGCCTCAGGTGGTCCTCGGGGAGGCCCTGTGCTGGGGGCATTGGAAGGTGTGGACCACCCCTGTTCTCACCCCATGACCTCCAGGTCCTGATGGCACAGGGCCTGAGCCAGGCTGCAGGCCAGGGGGCCCCTCCCTCAGCCCCCAGCCTGGGCTTCCCTCTGCTGGGCCTTCAGGCCCGCTGAGCTCGAGGTGGCCCTGCGGGGAGCGTGCGGAGAGTGGAGCAGGCAGGCAGGCAGACGGGATGGAGAGAAGGCCCTGCCCAGAGGACGAATACCAGATGAGAACAAGAACGTACCAGGCATGCAAGCTAGACCCAGGAGTCAACAGGCTGAGGCTTAGCATCCCCCACGGTGTCCACCAGCCTGACCGCGGGTCTGCTGGGCCCGGGAGGAGGAGCCTTCCTGCCGGGGTCGGGCTGCAGGGCGGTGGGCAGGAGGGCATTAGAGGCAGAACAGAGCAGGTTAGTCCGAGCTGGTGACTTGGGGCTGGGCTGATCAGCAGGGCAGGGCGAGAGCCGGGGTGCATGCGAGGAGAGGCCTGAGGGCCAGGGGAGCTGAACCAGCGGGGCTCGGAGAGGCAGGGTTGGCACAGAGCAGATGGCAGGGGCTGCCCTGGAGGCGAGACCATGCAGAGGAGGGTGCAGATGCGCCCTCTGTCCCGGGCCCCCTCCCTCCCAGTGGGTGCGAGTTTTTAACCACCTGCACCCACAGGCTGGCTCTGACGTGAGGTTCCCGAGGCAGAAGGGCCACACCCTGAACAGGTCTCCTAGCCCAACTGCCCTGCAGGTGAGCCCCACCCCAGGTCCCAGACCAAACCTTGCCTGGGCCCCTCTCCAGGTGACCCCTGGACACACCACCTCCCTGGACACCTGCCCACAGCCACTCACTTTCAACGTCTCCTTCTCAGAGGCCTCCCCTGCAGGGTCACTGCCTCGAGCCCTGCACTCCCTCCGGTCAACGGCGGAGTATCCATCTGTGGGGTGGAGGCAGGAGAGGACTCTGAGGCAGGCACCAGGCATGGATCTCCCTCTCAGCCCAGGGTGCATGTGGAGAGGGCCCCCACCTAGCCCGCTCTGAACCAGGCCTTATCACGGCCTCTCCCGTGCGGTGGGCCTTGCAGCCTCTCCCCTTTTCCCCACCAGCAACTCAGAACCCTCCAGCTGCCCCTCAGCTGCCAGACAGGACACCCTGGCTGGGCAGTGACCCCTCCCTGGCTGCCCCACCCCTCACCCCTGAGCACCCCTAAACCAAATCTTTTTTCCAACCACAACTCCTCGGAAGGTCCTCCCCACACAGAGAATAAGTAGCCTGCACCGGCACCTGCCCTCACCTGGGCCAAGTGCCTCCATGGGGATCACGTCCTGGCTGCCTGGCTTCTCGCCGTCTGCAAGGTACGAGCGGGTGGCTGGCTGGTTGCAGCGGTGGCAGGGGACCAGGGCTGGCCTCAGCCTGGTGCCAAGGTGAACACCACGGGTGGAGAGGATTGGGGAGGGGAAGGGAGGGGGCCATCTTCCTGGAGGAAGGTCGGCCTCCCTCTACCCCTCAGCAGGGTGGAGGGACACTCCTGAACCTCAGGATGGACCCCTGCCTCATACTCACCCAGGCTCTTGTCCACCAGCGGCAGCGTGCTATCGTCCAAGCCTCCGGGACTTGGTGGTGCCTTGGGGCCCTTGGCACTAGCAGAACCCGACTAGGGGGAGGAGGGCACACAATAGACGGGGTGGGTCGGGGTGCTCCCATGGGGTACCCAGCCTGGGCGAAGTGAGAGAGAAGGGCCGGGTGGGCCGAACCTGGAAGCGCGCCTTGGTCCAGCCGTCCCTCTGCAGGGCACCACGCAGCTCCTTGTAACTCCACACCGTCTGCAGCACGTGGGATGCAGCCTTCGCCTCGCGCACCGATTGGCTGCGGTCCGGGCTGGGGTCAGTGTCTGGCCAAGATGGCCCTGCTCTGCCCCCACCTAGGCCCCGCCCCACCCACCTGGGGGCACCTCCTGCCCACCTAAGCCCCACCCACCCACCTGGAGGCACCAAGTGCCACCAGCGCAGGCACGCCGCGGGCCTGCAGCAGCGAGCGCGCATTGTCCAGGCTGTCAGACACGATCTCATGGATGGTGTTGAGCACGGCCACCACTGTGTCCTCCTCCAGACAGGCCCCGGGCCGCGCGGGTGCCTGCGCGCTGCGCACATTTCGCACGAGCTCGGCCATGGCGTAGCTCCCTGCGGGCAGGGGCTGTGAGGACGCTCCGGCGCCGGCAGGAGGGGGGCCGCGAGGAGCGGGTGGCCCGGGCCCCAGACCCCCGTCCCCGCCCTCACCGATGAGGTCCTTGTTGCGCCGATCCAGCGAGAGGTTGCGCAGGGCGATGGCGACGGCGCGCACCACCTTGTCGGTCTCCGACTGCAGCAGCTCCACCAGCACCGGCAGCCCGCGCTCCTTGCGCACTGTGGCGCGGATGTACGTGGCCCACTGCGGCAGGGGCGCAAGGTGTGCTCAGTGCTGGCCGCGCCGCACACACCAGACGCTCGCCCACCTGAGCCCTGACCACCCCTCCGGCTGGACTGTTCTTCTCCCCCACCTGACAAAGCCCTCCCCCCGCAGCTCCACCAGGAATACTCCTGGGGTTCCCTCGGCCTCCTCCCTGCCAGGCTTGGCCTCTCACCACCCAGTTGCCGGCACTGAGGTTCTGCAGGGCACCGGCTGCGGCCTCCAGAGTGTTGAAGTTCCGACTCTCCGTCAGGAGGGACAGGTAGAGACGCACTACCTCGGGCTGGTACAGCAGCTCAAAGCCTGCGCACGGACCACCCGCAGCCCACAGTCACCCAGGCCGTCCCATCACCCCCTAGCCCCTCCTCAGCCCTCCCAGGGAAGGGCGAGCTGTGGCCCAGGATGGCTGTGGCATCATCAGGAATGTTTAGCAGCAACACGTTCACCCCTTAGCCACCAAAGAGTAAAAAGCCTTCCCACTTCACAAGGCAATCAACCCAAGCTCTGAGGTAGCAGTGGGTTTAGGCAAGGTCATTCTTCCTTGACCCCACTGCCAAAGAAATGGGACCTGCCTGATGCTGGAGCTTCCGGGAGGCCTGAGGTGGGGAGGGAGGCAGTAACCACAGCTGCTCCCCTAGCAACAGGACTCAGACTCCCTAGCAACAGCCCCCCCACCCGTATATAAGGCCCACCCTCCCTGTCAGAGCCACTCAACCACTCCTCGTCCCTCATCAGTTGAGGCTCCAGCCTTGCAGCAGAGCCACCCCACAGTGCTCCAGAGAGGAGGGCGGAGCAGCCTTCCAAGTCTGCCCCCACATTTAGGCTTCTGTGTCCCTGGACATTTCCTCCCCTCCCCCGCCAAGCCCCACATGTCATCACCCCTTCTCCAGTTCTCATGTCCCATACTCCCTCCACTCCAGCTTCCTGTTCCCCAAATGCTCCAAGCACTTGCCCCTGCAGGGCATTTGCATGGGCTGGTCCCTCTGCCTGTGATGCCTCCCCCCAGACCTCCCACGGCTGCGCTGCTGCACCCTGCTCTTGGGCATCTGGGCTTGCACGGCAGACCTCTCTCGCCCAGGCTGGATTCCCAGTGCACAGAGAAGTGCCACAGAGTGGGGCTCCGATGGACACAGGGAGCGAGAAGCTTGAACCG